TAAAGTAAACTCAAAAACTGTTATTTCTTTAAATCTCACTCAACTGTTAAAATGTTATGAATAAACGAAACATTTGTCACAGTTTGTTTATAGCCAATAATCTAGCCCAAGAATAAACTCACTTAGCTCACTTTCACATTATTTTTTGAATTATTAAAATGAATCAATTCTGAATTGGGCTAACCAAAAAATAATAACTGCATTAGTGTAAAAAAGTGAATAGATATGTCGGTAACGTAATTAGAAATAATCTCATTCAAAGAATAATTTTTTTAAATTGACAATGGATAAACTGATGCAGTTTTTAACTTGAAGTTTCTTGAAAAATGTGCCAACACTAAAGATAGAAAACTTCAATTTTTGGAACTGAATTTTAAAATAAATATCACAATGCTCGGCATTTCTGGTATGAAACTTTTTATGCCGTTTGATAAATGAAAATCATGGAAATAATGCATTTCATATTGTTGTTTATAGCTAAAACTGATAATATTTAGCTGATAACATGAAGAATTGCAAATTCTTTATTGCTTCTATTTATTTGATACACACATTATTATCTGAAGAAAATTGTTTCCTTTTCATATGCAGTCTATGCAGCAGCACTTTTGTTTGGGATGCTTTTGCAGATGTTGCTGAGGAAATTTGCACAAATATTAGCTAACGATAATTTCCAATTGAAAACTAAATACAACTGCGAAGTACAGATTTGTCATGCTATAAATTTCTGAGCTTGAGGTAATCAATAAAGTTAGATTACATATGCATAGCAAGTTCATTGTACAATTCCGAGAGATTTTACCAGGTTAACAACACTTAAAAAATACTGCAAAAGTACATCAAAGTAGTCCTGAAGCACAGCAATTCTAAACGAAATTGACATTTATAGAATCAGAATAACTTTTTGCATGCTATTTCCTATTCCATTACTTTACTTGTTATTATTCATAGACAACGAAGTGCAACAATGATGCAGGCACAATTCTTAAAAAAGGATGAATCGTTGACAATTTATAAGCTTTTAAATGGAAATTATCCTGAATTTCGCATGCAATACAAAAATTACGAATAATTTTCCTTCATCTGAAATACACGATATTTAAATGTGGAGTTTAAATTAATTTACTTTATTTGAATAAACCGCAAGATGCTAAATGGAACACAATTAGGTACAATAAGCTAGAACCATCGATAAAATTTTCAAGCTTGTGGTTAAATCTTAGCTTACGAGCAGAGACTTCCATATTCTTTTTCGATTTGCGAGAAAAAACAACGTTTTGTTTAGAAAACTTTATTGCAGGTATCATACTACGAATATTATCTCACTACAAAAGCAGAACAGAAAAATATCTTCGAAGGTATTTGGAAAATAGTAAAGTTAGAAAGATTCTCATCTAGAAAATATTTTGAGATGAAAAATTATTCAAGTAATGGAAGAAGAGAGAAAAAGTGAAGTTAGCAAAAGAGTAGGAGAGTGTGTTTAGCAGACAAAATATTAATATTAGAGAAAACAGACGAATAAATGAAGTCAAAGTATCATGTTGAAAGCTACTGAAAAACTTAAAAAATAATAATGGTGAGAGTTAGTCAAAGAAAGGCGAGAGATGTACGTGAAGAAGAAAAATATCTGATATGGTTGCTGAATATTGACTGATGAGATAAAGTGTTTGTGTAGTTGAAGCAAACGCTATGTACTGAAGCAGATAGCATAGGACTTGCGTTTCTGCTCGCTTAACATTGAAAAGTTCGTGATCAAACGAAGTCGAATTTAGGTGCAGGGATCTGTGGTGAGATTTGGATATGCAAAAGTGCGGGAAAACTTGATGAAATAAGAAATGGCGTGAATATGATAAGAATCTTGCGCATGGATGATATATGCAGCGTCGGGAAGTCCCGTATAGGACTATTACTGATTAAATGCAAAAATCCCTGATAAAATCAATAAAATCTTAAAATCTACAATGAGAACCGATGATGTACCGGCAAGCGGATATATCTGTCTTGTTATATTTAATATTTACTGCATAAACGATTAAAATATAGGAAGATGTGATAAAATACAAACACTGGTAGAATTTAGTTCAATATTATAGCTGCTTATTAAATGATGTTACTAATTATCAGCTGTTATGAATATCCTATGTAAGATCACTGCTTCAAGCTGAAAGCAGATTTCTGAAACAGATTTATCATCTTATGCTGTTCAATAATTCAATATGAGATGGAAGCTCAAGCATAATTTCTTGACTTGCGCTTAATTATTTGATGACATCCAGATTTTTTGATAGTATTCACTATGGTACTCATTTGTATTTACCGTGATACTCATGATTTGCATGGAAATGGGATTTCTTTTTTCTAAGAAACTCGCTTGGAGAGAGCAGACTTACTAGACTTTTTTCCCATCTAATACTTGTAAAGGATTTCCTAAATTAGCATCCTTCAAATCACATGTTTGAATATATTGACGTATATCAATTTCATTACCTATTTTTGACCTTCCAGAAGGAGTAAGCAGGTTATTGAGTAATAGTGTTTCTTTATTTATTTACTTATTTTGGAACTTATTCCTTAATTTAGGACTTGAAGTAAACAAGTGTTTTTTGACTAAGTTTGAGATAAAACTCAGATTTATTTCTTCGTAGAAAAACAAATGAGTGATTCATATTTTTTGTTACATAAATAACTGGTAATTATAATTAAGCTGTCTTTGTGTAGTGTCTAAATTTGAAAAATACAAGTCTTTTCAAATTAAAGCTGGTATAATTATGATTGATGTTCATCCAAGCACTTCTTGATTTCTTGGTGGTATTACTATAGGAGATTACTTGATTTATACGAAGTTGTTAACGATTTTCATTCAGAAATTTAAAAAAGAACGGTAGTCATCTCTGCTTGTTTAAATATTCGAATGTATGCAACGCGTCAAACATATTTGTTGGATCATTAGAATTATTAGTATACAAATTGATTCAAAAATTTGCCAGCTTCTTGATTGTCATCTTATTTTAGGCTTTTAAAAATGTAAAAAATTTTTGGTCGTAACAAGAAGTATTCAGTTTTTGTTGGTCGAAATAAACAACTTATTGTGCGATCAAACATCAATTTGTATACTAATAATTCTAATGACGTTTGTTCATGAATACTCCATTATGTTGGCGTCTTCTTTTCATTTTTGAATTGCGTTTTATTTTTCATTTATTTAACACATGTGTGATTATGAATTTTACTGCAATTTATAGAGAATTAAAAATGTTTTGATAGATTTTGAGAAAATATAAAATAAATTATACCAAACTGTTTTCAAATTTAATGATTTTTACATTCAATTGAATTATGTGATTTATTTTTGATAACTTTTTTGATTATGTTAAAAGGGAATGATCACCGTCGTTTCTTTCCTTCATCGTCCATAATATGGGACTGTGCTAGTCGAAGATTAGAATGAGTATTTCTTCCTTTACAGTAGCAAAGAAAACTTTTCTAGTAAAGAATTTACAAAGAATTGTCTTTGCCAAAGTACCAAAAAAATATCCAGAAACCTTTTTTATTAATTCTGATTTAAAAAGATGAAAGAACAATCTTGAATCTCGATATTGTTGAAACATTTGACGAGAAACAAAACATAGAAAGATTGCGGGCAGTGTCATATAAACTTTAAAATAGAGTATCTTAGTTCTACGAGTTGACAGACCATTAATACAGTTAAATTGATGCTCATTTGAAGATAACAATTCATTTGCTTGACAAACAATCATTGAGGATAATAATTTTAAAAATTTTCTATAGATTGCTTTTTTTTGTTATTTAACTTTTCAAGTTTAATATTTAACAATATGTACTAGTAAATTGCTTTTGTTCAATATTAATTATTTTCCACATTTTACCTGCTCTTCATGTCATCTATTGTTTTGGTAGATATTTCGTTTCAGAATTTTTTGACCTACGCTAACCTTCTTTTGCTACTAATAATTCCCATTTAAAATGATATATATATTGTAAGGCTAATTAATGGATAAATTACTTCTCTGAAATTAATTCTCATTCAAAATTATTTTAAATTGATTTCTAATAATTTAAAATAGTTAACGATACTTCAAATTTTTGGTCTTCTCATGTTAGTTTAGTTTCATTTTATAATAACACACAAACTTTACTCTTGACAATAAGTTGAATGAATATGTTTGGCAGAACAACTGCAATCTTTCATTCAAACGTTGAAAAAATCAGCAGTACCAAAATATCTACTTTTATTATTTCAGTGAACAAATTTTTTTAAGAAATTGTTCATCAAAGCTTTTTTTCTTAAATCTGGAATTAACATGTGTGAATTACAGCAGTATTAACTTTTTCAGTGAATTTTTCTGATGCCACGAAAGTGAAATGTTCCAATTACACTGCGCGGTTTAATAATGAGCTATGAAATAATTATTTCTGAGTGCTACTCATATTTGGAGATGGAGAATACTTGTAAAGATTATGTTCTTGCTTGTGAATATTTTTTCAAGGCACTTGAGGATAACGTTACTCAAAAATGGTGCCAACAAATAAATAAAATACTTGTTATGAGTGACTGATTTTTTTGAGATAGAACTTACATCCAATTCATGCAGTAATAGTCATAGTTAAAAACAATGATTAGTGTATGTAATAAATGAAAATATTTCATTTTGATTCCATATTTACTCAAAAATCACTATGATAAATTAAGACCTTTTTTTATTTTTGGTGAGTAATTCAAAGAATTCGATAAGTATTAATTTTCAACTAATTTACTTGAAATTTTGATAAATCTTGATTGAATTGTACACGAATAATTATTGCTCGATTCATTTTATGATGCACACGACTATCTGACCTCAATTCCGTGACAAACTTTGCGTACGCGTTGCGCACTGTTATGATATTCAGATCCATAAATCAACTCCATATAAATATAATTAAAGTTTACTTTCTTAAAATAAATAAGCAATAAAAATTTGTTCACTATAAAAAATAGTTTATTGATTAAAGGAATTTGTAGCTCGAAAATGAGACGTTAATAGTGTAGTATAGAGTGGAAATAGTGGATTAATAAGCAGTGGAAATGTATCGTTCATTTCACATTCACGAAATCCTTTAGCAAATGGATTGCTCTCGATTTTCAGTTCTGTTATCTGCAAAGTAAATGAATAACTATGGATTATTCTCATTTCCAATTACATTTTTTTGAGAAAAAAAATTTAATAATCATAAATAAATGTTAACGATCATAAATAAATGTTAACAATCAATAAATCTCATTTGAGTTCTTCAAATTACTAATTTTGTATTTTCAAATTAAAATGGACCGATTTTGTCATCACTAAAGTCCACTATTACATTCTTTAGTTCATAATTTGTCATTGTTGCATTGAAAGTTAACTTCTATCAAATCTTAAATAAGTGATAACACTGAAAACAAATCATTATTTACCCGATGATTTTGATAAGCAGTCACAGCCATAAAAGCTGTATTAGAAAATGAAAATGTCCGACATAGTCGTCCTTGACCATCATCCGCATGCACCACAATGTGAATATTTGGTTGGTAACGGTGCATCGAATTCACAATAATCTGTAGTTAAAAAGTTGTAAAGCATCAGTTCATGGTAAAACTCTCTGAAACAAACAGAATTCCAAAAGGTTTAGCACATCATTTTTAACTTTCAATTCTCGCTATTTCATGCTAAAGCCGTTTCGATCAAGCTGATTAGTTGGGGAAATAACAAAGTTTTAATAAGTTATCTGAACACAAAGTCTAACAATTAGAATAATAAATATATTGAAGTCAAAACTAGAATTTTTTAATCACTCAAGTTACTTATAGCAATTGAACACTTTCAACGATTGTGTAATGAAGGAAAGGACTACACTTTCTAGTTTTGGAATTTATTAATATGTTATTTATTTGCTTTTTGGAATTAACGAACAGTAGGAAACTGTCTTTACTATGTGAGTATAATTTAAAAAATGTCATCTGTGATGGCTTTTGTTTTCTTATATTAACTTCAAATAGCAAATTGCATATTAAGAAAGGAATAGCAGTGAAAAAATTATACAGAGCAAATATTATTTTCTCAATTAAATTTTTTCACCAATTTATTAAAATCGACTTGTTTGAGAGTAATGAAATCATATACATGGCCGTTTTGATCAAGTTGATTATTAGTTAATTTGATTTTGTCAAAAGATACTGTCTGACGCATCCAGTGTTCACCAGAAGCAGGAGATTCACAATGCACGTGAACTCGACATGGCAGTTCTGCTTCTCCTAATGAAAATTAAAATGAAGATGTTCATTTAATTACTCCAAATGTTGACAAAGTTAAGAAATTCAAATACTATTTTAAAGAAGTAAATAGTAAAAAAAGAATAAAATGGTTTTAAAATGATTTTATTTCAATGATTACTGAATCAAAGATAAAAAGTTCACCCGGTCCTGCAACGATCCATTTAGATTGATGAAAAGCGTAACGGTATCTTTTATTATCGATACAAGTCAGATCAACCATCAACGAATAACGCATGGAAGGTTGTAGACCGGAAACAGATACTTGCAGCGTTGGAAACATCCGTCTGCAACTTTTTGAATGCAAAGGAAAATAAAACAACATTCAAAAATAAATAATAGAAATTATTCATGTTGCTTTTAAATCGACTGCTAAAATCAAATAATATTCACAAGTAAGAGGCAGAAATAATTAATTTCATTACTTTTAGATGTATTAAGTTTCCAATTACTTGTTAAAGTCTGAAGTAATTCCTATTAAATTTATTGTAGCAAACGATTAATTTTTTTATAAATATTTAGACAATAATTAGTTCTGTCCAAATTGCAAGTTCATTCGTTATAAAATGCCATTTTTTGGAATTTTTGTCCGTTTTTTCATAAATTTATGAAATTTCTATTGCAATAAATATTTCTTTTTACTGTACAAATGTGCACTACGACCCTCTCAATTTTCCTTATTTTGTAAAAATACCATTTGTATGCAAAGCATAAATTATCATTGCAAAAGCAAAATGAGAAGAACAAACAAAAGAACTTTGACATCAATTCAAAAATTTCCGCCAAGCAATAAATGCTAATTATTCATTTTAATTCCATTAATTTGAAATAATTTAATTATCGGAATAAATTTAACATAATAATGCCAGAACAATGTAGAAAAAATAAAAGGATGCATGTAGTATTGGTAGTTTTTTATGAATTAAGTCAAGCAGAAGAATGATATAAAATAAATTTGAAAATGAAATAAAAATAGAAATCCAATTTTGAGAATTTATATTTTTGGATTTGAATTAAGATAGAGATAAATACAGCTGTAACAATACTAGCTAACCTTCCAGTTTTTGTCACAATCATCTCAGTACCATATGCATGAAACCTGTTCCATAATGTTGAACCTTCTAAACGTACAGAAACATTTTGCAGTGCTTCATGATAATCTTTGATAATAACTGATTGACAAGCATCTTCTGATACTTCGTCATCATAAACATCATCATTGGCAATAAAATTATTAGCAATACAATTATTGGTATTACTGGCCGAGAATGTAGCAGGTAGTGAGACTATTTTAGGTTCAGAATCAGTCTTGAAATCTTTACAGTTTTGATTACAGTGATTGTCACGTATGGTATCACCGATCAAATAAGCGATACTAAAGGGTTTGCTAGACATGTTGACGCTTTGATGAGAAAAGAAATTTTACATTCTGAGAACCCACAGGATGTATATTTTGATCCACTTGCGTTAACTGGTTGCTAGTACTGATGCTAATGGAATAATATAGCCGAAAAATGACGAGACTTTAAGGAGGAGTGAAGAAAACCTAGCATTTGGAAAGAAAAATCGCTTCTCGAATTCAAAAGATTGCCAAAATAATGATAGTATACAATATTTTCATAATAATTAAGATATTGGTGATACTAACAAATAATTTGTTGACGATAATGGTGATAATGACGAAAACAACAAATGATGACGGAAATAATGGTACTAAGTTAAGTTTTCCAGCGCACACTTTCTTCTAAAAACACGTGGTGGGCGGAAAATTCCAGTTTTGAAAGCTTTCCTTACCATCTGGCAATAATATTACAGTAGTATTAATGATAGCTCTTACATATGAATTGTTTTCATACCGTACAATTGATAGATGCTAACAAATTACATCTTATCAGTCCGAAAATAATCATTATGACAATGAGAAGTGTAACAAAAATGCATTATACACCACGCAAAGCATTACTTTTCTGGCACTTCATATCCCACACAGTATTATTTCATGAAATAAATTTACATATATATCCATTTGTTTTTTGCAAAATCATTGAGACATTTCTATACCATTTTATATAAATTCCATAAGAAATGGTATAGAAGTGTCGCAAAAATTTTTATGTTTGTTTAGGAAAGGCAAATTTGCATATTTGCATTAATATTATTTCCTCGTGAAAAGAAAATGCAAATTGTCATGGTTAATATTCATATTCGCAAAAATTACGGAAGTATTGCAAGTAAAAAATTATTTTGAACAATAATCATGCAGTGCTTCAAAATGTTGATCTATCTGCAAGTTAAATTATGACAACTGCATATTAATCATTTTTCTTCTTCCCTCCAAAACTTTTCCTTCTTGTAGTTTAATTTTTTTATGATATTGAAAAAAAGCGTACTAATATACTCATTTCCACTTTTTCACATAGCACAATTACAAGCTTGGCTGAACTTTTACATAGAAAACTATATTTTAATATCTGGTATTTTAGTCATGATTTATTTCATTTTATTATTCGCAGAAATACTTCAATATAATTTTCATTAATTTCTTAAAAAGAAATTGTTTCACACTTGCAATATCCAATTGAATTTTTTATTCCCGAAATTTATTTACTTTCACTGACAGTTATTGTAACTCATAATTAAAATGTTATG